ATTGGATCAAGGGTCGAGGCCCGTGTTGAGTCCCAGCTAAGGCTTGACACGAAGCATACGAGCCATTAAGGGCCGATGTTTCTTACATTGCAGCTGCTTCGATATGTCCGTATTCTGGTGTTCAAAAATGCTGCGGTTGCTGTGTCCTCCTTACAGCTGACTGTCAGCATTTGAGAGTCGATGTTACTGTCCTTACTGTCAGACTGATATGTTTTTTGCCCCCCCCCCCCCCGCACCCGGCCCCAGCCGCCCCAATTTGGAGCAGCCCTCGCGCCAAAAGATTTTCAGGTGGAGTCGCTGCAGAAGGACATGCAGGACATCCCCGGCCTTGGATCTAAAGGGTGTGGTAGGCTGTCGGCCGTTCTCAGATTTAGGCTGCCCTCTGGTTAGGTAACAACTGTCTGGTGTTAGCGATACCGAAAAAGGTTTTGCATTCTGAAACTCTCCCTCAACCCTACACCGTCCCACCGTGGAACTGGAACGCATGTTGCTAGGGTTACGATTATAAGGATTACGTAGGAGAACTGTAGAGGGTTCCCCAAAGAGTTACCATAAGGGTTCTATAAGGGTTTTCGCTGTTCAGGAATCCAATTCAGGGCAGCGTAGGGCTTGGCGTTTAAGAGGTTTAGGATTGGGGCTTCGGGTGTAGGGTCTCGGACATTCGGTTCTGTAAGTTGGTGCAGGGGTCGGAAAAGTCTACAGGTATAACATACCCCAGAGCCCTACATAGGCTTTTAGTTTCAGACTTTAATAATTGCCCTAATCCTTGAACCCTAAACCCCGAGCCATAATTCCTAACCTTGAAGTTTGAAGGTCGAAAGCCTCAAAGCACCCTTGCTCCTCCAAAAAACCATAGAAAAGGCTTTAATTGAATTTCTTGAAGCACCCTGAGCAAGCATTACACACTTCTTTGAGGGCTTGTATGAAGCCGCGTGAAGGGTTTTACGGCTACATACCCTGGCGAATCTCAATACAATCCGAAACCTCAATCCTTAACCCTAAATCCCAAAAAACCCTATACCCTAAACCCGGCACCCGACACCCCTAAATCGCACATAGTACACAGGACTTAGAGAAAGAGTTGGCCGATGTCCACCTTGAGCTCAAAGCCACCAAGGCCTGGATAGCACAGCAACGTCCATCATTTGGCAGCCGCGTAATCCCTAATATGCGAGCTTCCGAAAATGAGGGGTACCTTATTTTGGGTCCTTATAATAAGGATCCTACTATTCAGGGTACTATATTAGGGTCCCTTATTGTCGGAAAACCCCATAAAGGGGCCTCAACAGTTGGAGTAGTGTTTCTCTAAAGGGTTCTATAAAGGCGACTACTGTACCAGGCTTCACTGTAGCCCCAACGGTGAAGGGTTGAGGGATACAAAGGCTCTGAGTTTATAAGGGTTACGGTTGTGTAGGGTTTAGGGACAACAGGGGTTAAGGTGTTAGGGTGTAGGGATTAAGTACGTTCTCAAATATTTAGGATAGTGATCAAGCATTCAGAGATGTCAAGGGAAATCGGAACTTCTTTCATTGTAATTCATCTAATCTTGTTGCTGTGACGATGGTTGCAGTTGCTGGTGCTGGCATTGTTGTTGAAGTTGCTGCAGTCAGCGTTGCCGGTGATGGCACTGGTGCTGGTGGTTCCGATGGTTCTCGTGGTGCTGGCGGTGCTGGCGTTGCTGGTGGTGCAATGGTGATAGTGATGCTGGTGGCGATGCTGGTGTCGGTGGTCGGTGCTGATCGGCGGACGGCGTGGTTGGTGTTGGAGGTGTCGGGTTTTTCGATGTTCCTTGGATTCTCTGATCCCCTGCCCAAGAAACCCCATACTTGTCTTCACATTGCCGTCTGTCGAGGCTTGTGTGAAAAGACAACAGCTCACGCGCCGAATATAATTCGGAATTAGGGGATTGGGTAATTAGAACAGAGTTGGAGGTATATTATACTATAAATACGGAGCCCCGAAACCCCATTCTAATTATTAAGGCCCCTACATGATTCTGTGAAGCCACTCGCACCGCGAGGCGGAAAACGCAGACTGGTGCGAGAGAGCTGCGGACTCATCCTCGCGTCCCACCCTTCCCTAAAAAAAAGGGTGCCTTATTTCGGGGTCGTAAAAAAAAGGATCCTACTACTTAGGGACTATTATATTAGGGTCCAATATTTTCGGAAACCCCTAAATCGCACACCCTTTCACTTCTGAGGCGACCACTAGTTACTGGCCTGTGAACTTTGGGATGTTCTGTAGAAGGTTTTCGGGTTTGGGGTTTGAGCTCTATTTTCGCGGCGACGAAGCGGAAACCTCCTGGAATCTTAGTCGCGTGGCAGGCAAAATCAACAGGCAATTGTTCACAGGGTCAGGGCACTTTAGCAACTCGGGTATGATAATGGCTTTGCTCTTCGCAGCAGTCATGTCATATCTGTAACAATGAACATCAACAGTGAACCGCAGGATAATACTCACTATCGTAGTGACATATTGAACATTGACTGTGGTAATTTACAATGCGGCATCGTCATCTTCACCGCGACTGAATGCTTGTTGCAGAAGAAGAATAGGAAGAAGTACTTATCGTGGTCGTCGTCGCCGTCGTCTTGGCGCTGGTGGTGGTGGTGGTCGTCGTCGCAGTACTAGTACTAGCAGCGGTGGTAGTAGTTGTTGTAGTAGCAGTCGAAGAAGTCGTAGTAGTCGTAGTCGCAGTAGTAGTAGTGGTTGTAGAAGTAGTAGTAGTAGTAGTAGTAGTAGTAGTAGCAGTAGTAGTTGTATTAGTAGTAGGTGCAGTGGTTGTAGAAGTAGTAGTAGTAGTAGTAGTAGTAGCAGTAGCAGTGCCCATTTGCTGACAGTTGTA